TTGAGAAAAATGCTATATAAATAACGAGAGATAAAAAATTAAATTATGTAGGAAAAAAAGAAGTAGATTGAAGGAATTGGAAAAAATGAAGAAATTTTTGCGGTGAAATCGAGGGGGTTGGAAAAACAAAAAATGCATACACGTGCGTCGTACATACGTTGCATACTTACTCACATACGTAAAAATTACATACTCACGAGCCTCAATGTCGAAAAAGAAAAAAATGAAAAAAAAAAGAGAAAAAAAAAGCAAATAAATAGTAAAAAACAACGTTATGATTGTAAGTTGTGTAAGGAAATAAAAATTGAAGTGTGTCTGAAATTGAAGGGATGCTCAATTTTTGTTTTGTTTTATCGTTTACTCTATCGTTTTTTAATATTTTGTTGTTATTTTAATTTTCCATGATTTTCTTTTGGTTCTTTTTTTTTTGCTACTAACCCGAATATTTTCTATTATATTTTTTTAACTATTTTATTTCGTATACTCTCTTGTCACGTAATTTTCTTTTTAATTATAATAATTATTAATTCAAAATACGCTCATCGTGTGTTGATACTAATCTTGTATGTCTGAGTATACTCCTAATAATAATAATTATTATTATATAATAATAAATAATTTATTAAATAATAATAATAATATAATAATGATGATAATAAATGAAATATTAAGGAAAAAAGAAAAAGAAAAGGAAGATAAGAAAAAAGACAAAATGGATGATTATTTTGAAGTGATAAGAAAAATGGGGGTGAAGAGATAACGGGATAGAAAGATGGGAAGATAAATCGGTGAAAGAAATAAAAAAAAGAACCCTTTTTTTTCTGTATACACATTGTCAATTAGATTCAGACTGACCGCAGGGATTGTAAACGCATAAACGATTCGATGTTTTCCAATGTTTTAGCTAAAAATTAATATAAAATGTCGTCGTGTATCGTTGTTAAAAATAATGTTTACCAAAAAAAAAAAAAAAAATGCAAGAAAAAGTGACTGTAGCGTGTTGTAATACGTCGTGTGAATACAGTGGCGTAGTACGTTGCTAAAAATAATATTAAATAAATCATATTATTAATTTTTTTTTTATATTTCGCGCCAAAATACGAACAAGTGTCATCGAAAATAGCGCGGGAATTTCAAATTCAAATTCGTGAATTTGAATTTTTGTCTTAATTTTTTTTTTTATTTTTTTTTTAAATCTTCAAGGAAGATATTTTTTAAATATATCAAATATATTTAAACAAAAGTTTATACATTCTACGCCACTGGATTGTAAATGAATCAATCGTACGATTTAAATGTAAGAAAGATGCAAAATTTTGCGGTAACATTTACATTATAAACATTTGTCGATATACGCATATATTGTAACATACATGCATATTATGAAGACCAATTTTTTGTTTTGAATATTTAGGCGTACACATACACACATAAACACATTAACATTTACATATATAAACATACATACATACATACATATGTAATTTTCTATGGCAAAATCATGAAAATGACATCCATTATTTTATTCCTAATTTATTAAATAAATTATTTAATAATAAAATTTAAAAAAAATTAATTTAAATATAAATTAAATTATTATAAATCTAAATAATTATATTTGTTTTATCATTAACGAATCATTTTTAATTTTCTATTATTTAAAAATATTTCTATTCAATTCTTTTGTTTGTTCAATAAATTTACATTAAAATAAAATATATAAAAAAAATTGTTACAATTCTAATGGATGATTGTATGATTCTGCCATTTTGTTGAGAGTAAAAGTTTAATGTAAAATACCAAATTTACTCTCTCGACCCCAAGAGCTGACTGTAAAGTGATATTCTAAATAAATAAATACACTTTTTACACGATAATACTTACACTTACACGTACTCAATTAAAAAAAACAAAAAAAAGCAAACCAAAAAAATAAAAAAAATAAACTGAAAAAGAAAGCGCGATAGAGAACGTTGATAAAAGTATTGGCAATCGTGTGCAGATGACATAATATGTTATTTAATATTAATAATAATAATTATTATTATTATTTCGTGTCATAATAATCGATAAAATTTTGGTTATACATCGAACAATCCTAAACGTTTAGAATTGATTTCCGCTAGAATGTATATATATATATATATATATATATATATATATATATATATATANTATATATATACATACATATATGTACATATTAATATAATATATACCTATTTATATTTTATTAAAATAATTTATCACACGTATATACGCAAATAACTGCTATTAGTAAACGAAAAAGGAAAACTTTATTGAACATCTAATCACTTTTAATTATTTGTATGATTTATGAAACAAATTTTGAATTATTTTAAATAATAATAATAATAATAATAATAATAATAATAAGAAGAAGAAGAAGAAGAAAATAATACAGGGAAACAGAAAGAAGTGAAATGAAATGAAAAGAAAAAAATAATTTCAACAAAAAACCATAATATCGATCCATTTTGAAATACACACAATAATTATCTGGACCAATAAATTTTACACTTCTATTGATACGTAAACTACTCTCATCTTAGAGTAACACTTAACTGATAATCTCTCTTTAAAATATCAGAAACATTCTGGGTGTAGGAGGAAGAAGAAGTAAAACAAAAAGATTAAAATTAAATGAAAAAAAAATTCAAAAACAAAAGTATATAAACAAAATGAAGAATAACATTCGTTGTACGCCATTAGGGTGGGTTGAAAAGTTTTGAGTCTCACCAATAAAACGAACTTTCATTTTTGTTTTTAATTGTATTTTAATTTTTAAAATGATTAGAAAAAATAGAAAATTGTTTCCGTATTTATTAGGCCTCGCAATTTTTCAACCCAACCAACGTTAAATTAAACCGCTTAAAATTAAAATAAAATAGAAAAAAAAAAGAAAACACCTAATTACTTATCATACTCACATTATTAATACTTACAAACAAATTATCGACCCGATGTTTATCTTTTATTTTACGTGAGTGCACACTTTTAATTTAATTACATATGTTGTGTTTCCCTTTAAAACGTGAAATCCTTCCTTCAATTCATTAAATAACCGAAACATTACACTAATTAATCGGATTAAAATATACTTTAAACGCGGTAACGTATATGCACATACATTTTCTCGCAGGAACTACCACCACTACACATAATCAATCGATCACTAAAAAAAAAAAAAAAAAAAATACTGTGTGTCTATCGTTATCATATTATATTGTGATTAATCGAATATGTATCGTATGTAGTATGTTGCATAGCATATTTTCTGTCAACTGGACGCTCATATTTGTACTCTTTTCAATATAACGAATTATAAATTGTATTGTTTCGAATTAAATATGAAAAGAGAAAACAAAAGGAAACACTTGGCATGCGGGTAACGTATTTTTACGTTTTTCACAGTCTGTCACTGGATCGCAGATCACGTAAAAATACGTATTCAGTAGATTTATGGTGGATATCGAATAATGGATAATTACAACACAGTGAAGTAGATAAAGCGCTTAGCTATATATGTATGATGAATTGTGCATTTTTCAATGCATATGTAGTATAAAATTCAATAAAGACTCAAAAAATAAGATACAAGAAATTTTTGACCAAACTACTGCGCGATTAATGAAAAAACGCCCGCTGCACGCATAACTTGACAGTGAAATATACCCGCATGCCAAGTGTTAAAAAAAATTTGGTTATTATTCTTCTATTCTCCGACACTGTAAAATTAATTCAAAGAATTAAAATTTAACACGAATAACACGTGTACGTATATACTCGGAGTAATTTATTTCAACGTGTTTCTTTCATTAGAAATTCGTACGAAGAATTTTGTGTGAAATTACATATGCAATTTCTAAAATATTTGAAAAATTTCGATAATAGCATAAACGAAATTTTGACTATAAAAGAAAAAAGAGATAATGAGCGTCCCGTTCGAAGATGTTCGTGTAATATATAAATAAATAAATAATAAAAAATAGGTGAAATTAAGCCGATGGAAAAAAATGTAATCGAAAAAGTAAGAAGAAAAAAATATATCAACGAGGAGATTATACGAGGGTGGGTTGAAAAGTTTTGAGTCTTAACAGAAAAAAACAAAACTAATTTTTTTTTTGCTTTTTTTTTTTTTGATTAAATAAAAACAAATGTCATCGATAAAAGAAAAAAATAGTGTTTACTCGTGTTTAAACATGAAACTTTTCAACCCCAATCTACGTATAATATATATACATATATATATATATATATATAAACAGATATCAGAAAAATTTCTATGTTCTCGACTAATGCAAAATTGCGAGTGCGCGTATGAGTGTGTATATATCGTAAATATAAATAAAAGAAAGAAATAAAAAAAAATAAAAATATATATATATACATATATACATAAATTATATAGGTATTATAATAATAATTATTATTATATCGCTAACGTGTGTATATTGCGTATAAATATTATAAATAAATAAATAAATAAATAATATTAATTGACTCCATTATACACGAGAAGAAAAAAATGAGATCTTATAAAGACCAAAGAAGCCAACATACAAGTTGATAGTATCGCAAAAACCATTATATGCAAAGAGAGTAAAAATAAGGGATAAAGATAAAAATATAAAAATATAAAAAAATTAAAAAAAATAATAAAACAAAAACAAAAAGAACAAAACGAAGCGGTTGGCTTGCTGTGTATCTTCGCAAAATAAAAAAAAAAATAAATAAAAAAAAGAGTAACCAGAAAAAGAAAAGGAGAGGGAAGAAAAAACAATTCAGTCAGTAAATGAAAATGTTTTTCGTTTGATGACGCACGGTACCGTATTACATCGCATTTTACAGCTATTATATTTTATGAAAGAATGAAGAATTAACAAGGATAACAAAATATGGATGACAATTTATTTTAATGGGTTAGAAAATCTATTAAAAAAAAAAAAAAAAATAACGAAGAATGAATTTTTTTTTTTGTAATCGGTACCGTCGTTGTAAATGTCGTTAATAAAACGCGAACGATCATAAAGGTTGATCCTTTTCGAGAAAAATGGAAACTATTGAATGAATTTTTTCCTTCGGCATACGTACACGCATGTGTGTGTACGCGTAATATGTGTAAATGCGTGGGTGGATATAAATATACGAGATGTAAGAATTGCAGTGCAGACACACATGTGTATACATATAATATACATATGTGAAAATAAATAAATACATATAAAAATAACAATAAAAAACAATATATATATATATATGTATTCAATGAAATGCCAACCATGCGAGTATCGCGAACTATACTACAATTATAATGTTCGTGTTTATTTTGAAAATATTTATTTTTATATTTCTTGTTCATTTTTTAATATTCTTTTTAGTTTATCATTTTTATTATTACTTTATTATTATCATTATTATATAAATTGTCAAAGCAGATAAACAACGAACATAATATGTTTTCGATTATTATCTATGTATAATAAATTGTCGTCAAATAATGATATAATGTGTGGAAGGCAAATATCACAAGTGACTGTAATATGACTCGTGAACGACCATATCTTTGGTAACATCCTTTACGGTCGTACAACCTGTAAAAAAAAAAGGAGTGACAATATATGATATATTAAAGAATAATAATTAAACAGTTATTAGTAACATTGATTTACCTGTTAAAGTGAAAGTATGATCGATTTCTGTTCTCATTATCTCGAGAATATTTAATGCACCTTTTTCTCCGGCATAAGATAAACCCCATAACAACGGTCTACCCATGAATACCTTTTCGTCAACGATTAGATTTATTGTTTATTTTTCAAATTAATTATTATTATTATTATTATTTAAAAAAAATAATAGTAATTAAAAATATATATATATATTTAATGTTTAGAAGAGAAGAAGAATATTTTGATTTCTTCTCATTTTAAAATAATCGTAAACATTATTTTATATCATATATATTGTTATTTTAATTTACCATCTTTGCGCCTAAAGCAAGAGCTTTAAATACATCGATTCCTTGTATAATTCCTCCGTCCATATAAATTTCTATTTTATCCTTTACCGCATTCACTATCTCAGGTAAGACTTCAATCTAAAAAATACAGAAGAAAATATATGTAAATAATTAAACGCGTTATCACCAAAATTATTTACGTTTCAAAACTACTTATTTTTCGAATTTAAAATCTATCGAATTTGTGTTCAAATTTTTCAATATTTTTATATATAATATTGGTGTATATTAAATAGAACATTATGATGGTATAAATTTCTCATAATACGAACTGTTGCAGGAACGCTATCAATTTGACGTGCACCGTGATTAGAAACTATAATAGCAGAGGCTCCATATTTCACTCCTAAAATTGCATCTTCGACAGTTAAAATACCCTTTAATACGATCGGCAATTTCGTATTGCTACAAAATCAAATAATACGAATTTTGAAATTAATTAAATTAAACTATATTTTTATAAATGGTGATAAATAATTACAATACTTTTTTAGCCATGTAATATCTTCCCAAGAAAGTGACGGATCGAATAATTCGTTAACATACTCGTTTAAACCTGATCCCGTTTTAGATGTTGTTATTTTATCCGATAAAACACCTTCGAAATTAGCTAATCTAAAAAAAAGAAATTATCTCGAAATTGTATAATATTAATTCAAAAAGAAAAGTAACATTTATAAATATATGAACCTTAAATGTTTAGGAAGTGAAAATTTGTTTCTCAAATCGGCGCGTCTGTTGCCAAAAATTGGAGCATCCACGGTAAGAACGAGAGCTTTAAATCCAGCATTCTCGGCTCTTTTAACTAAATTCAATGTAATATTTCGATCTTTGTAAACGTAAAGCTGAAACCATTTGATACATTTCGGTGCTGCCTCTGCAACTTCTTCGATACTGCTGGTTGATATAGTTGAGAGTATAAAAATCGTTCCTGCTGCTTCAGCAGCTGTAAATAAGTAAATAATTATATAATAAAAATGTATGTTTATTATTAAAAATAAATTATTAATTATATGCAGTTTTCTTTATACAATAAAATATAAGAACATACAGTGTGTTTCAACTGAAGAAAATATATTTTGTGTTTTAAATGATATGAAAAATGTTTATGACAATAAGCGTGTATTTTGTTTTCATTGCATCCCTTGTAACGGATTAACAAAATGTATTTAAATATATTTTTATCATGACCTATATATTATTACTAATAATTAAAGAAAAAGGGTCAAATAAATAATTGATTTTCAATCGGGTCGATACTAGAAGTATATTTAAAGTAAGCGCACCCTAGTGTTACGATAACAGCACCAATGAGCGACGTAGAAACGTACGCATGCGTAGAATCTGGCGCATGCGTAAAGGCACGCGTAAACTCAAAGACGCGAGCATGCGCAGAATAAATCGCACGTACTTATCTCTATCTTAACCTCCCTCCGCGGTTTTAAAGCAGTGTTGTCAGTGTTATTACTGTTGCCGGTACTTCGGCGCGTAACGTTCGGATAACATTAAAGCGCGATGTACCGCGATAAGTATATTTTTCATTGTAAAAAGGATAGATGAGTTGTTGCATTAATAAATAACGATAAAGCTTGAACAACGTGCCATCAGTAAAATAGAAAATTGTACGATATGAGTGAGGGTTGAATCGAAATGATGAGACGTAATGTTATAAGTCTCCTCAAATTCTTCACATTAGCGGTATTTACCGTGTTTCTTACCGTCATTATTTTTCGTTATATAAGACGACCACATAATCGAGAATCAACGACAGAACAGTTCCCATTATTGATTGAAAATGAAGGAAAATTTCCGAGAGACTTGTCACGACGTTTTAACGAACCGGTGAGCTTTTCTCTCTTTCTCTCCTTCTCTACTTCTTTTGTCTACTCGTTTCGAAGCTGACTATACCGATAGAGAGTGAGAGAAAGAAGGTCAAAGACCCATTCACCCTGCGCGCGACCATTTAAGCAAGTCAAACAGGTTGCGTGACATTCCGCACTAGTCAGACTTTCACGTTTCGTGCTAACTTGTATTTTATGATTTTACGGAGATAGTCACGTGTACTCTTTCAATTTCATCAAAAGTGAATTTGATACTCTGACCTTTACATTTAAATATATCTTCCTGTATTATTAATTAATATATTTGTTTATAATTTTATTAATAATTTAAATATGTAACTTTGATTATTAATTTAATATATTCACACATATCTGCAATTAATATGTTTTATTAACGTACCAATTGTATTTACTTATTCTTCCATTTATCATTCTACCAAAGTTTTGCTTGCATGATATTTATCAGAAAGATAAAACGTGTAGGTTTTTCAACTTATCTATGACATCATAAATATAATGAATCAAAAAGATATATTTGCACAAATGTATTTATCATTATAATTTATGATTTTATTTCTTTACAGAATGAGGATGAAAAAATCGATTGGCACAATTACAAACAGATAGAAGAAGATGGAAAAAGAATTGGAACAGGAGAACAAGGAAAACCAGCATTTTTATCTCCTTCTCTCGACAAGTTAAAGGAAAAATTGTATAAAACTAACGGTTTCAATGCGGCTTTAAGCGATGAAATATCTATGAATCGTTCAATACCTGATATTAGGCATCACGAGTGTAAAAAAAAGAAATATTTAAAGACATTAGATCCTGTCTCCGTGGTAATATCTTTTCATAATGAACACTTTAGTACATTAATGCGCACATGTTGGAGCGTTATCAATCGTTCTCCTCCTTCGCTTCTCAATGAGATTATACTAGTCGACGATGCCAGCACAAAAGTAGAATTAAAAAGCAAATTGAACGATTATATAAATAAACATATGCCAAAGGTCAAGATAATAAGATTACCAAAACGATCAGGATTAATAAGAGGTAGATTGGCTGGTGCTAAAAAAGCATTATCAAAAATTCTTGTCTTCCTAGATTCACACAGTGAAGCTAATGTTAATTGGCTACCACCGCTTTTAGAACCGATAGTTCAAGATTATAAGACTTGTGTTTGTCCCTTTATCGATGTAATAGCGTATGAGACATTTGAGTATAGAGCTCAAGATGAAGGTGCTAGAGGTGCTTTCGATTGGGAATTGTATTACAAACGTCTACCATTACTTTCAGAGGATTTAAAACATCCTGCAGAACCTTTTAAGAGTCCTGTCATGGCTGGTGGTCTATTTGCTATAAGTACTAAATTTTTTTGGGAACTAGGTGGTTACGATTCTGGATTAGATATATGGGGTGGAGAACAATACGAATTGTCATTTAAAATATGGCAGTGTGGTGGCCAAATGTATGATGCACCTTGTTCGAGAGTTGGTCATATTTATAGGAAATTTCCACCTTTTCCTAATCCTGGTCGTGGTGACTTTTTAGGAAAAAATTATAAGAGAGTAGCTGAAGTATGGATGGACGAATACGCGGAATATATTTATCGTAGGCGTCCTCATTTACGTTCATTGAATCCAGGAAATTTAACGGAACAAAGAAATCTTCGAAAGAAATTACATTGTAAACCATTCAAGTGGTTTATGGATAATGTAGCATTTGATCTTGTTGAAGTATATCCACCGATAGAACCGGATGACTTTGCTTCAGGAGAAATTAGAAATATGGGTGCACCAGAGTTATGTTTAGATGCTAAAAAGATGAAGAAAGATGAAGTTATAACGGTAGATGCTTGTATAAAAGATAATCCGAAATTATCTGGCGAACAAGAATTTAAATTGACGTGGCACAAAGACATTAGACCAAAAGATCGCACAGATTGTTTAGATGTATCTAGATCGGATATAAAAGCTCCTGTAAGCTTATATCCTTGTCATGGAAAACAGGGTAATCAATTATGGCGATACGATGTAGAAAAACAATGGTTGATGCACGGTTATATACCAAGATGTTTGGACACGGATCCAGGTAGTAAAAAGGTTTACGTGACTGCATGCGATCAGTCATCTCCTACTCAAAAATGGAGAATAGAAAATGTCAATATGAAAGCTATTAATAATTGGGAAAATGTGGGACCAAAGCTCCGATAAATTTTTTCTTTCGTATTGCCATAAAATGCCATTATTTTATATCATCACATTGAGTTTTATTTTTTAAGTGCTGCTGCTGCAATTTTCGATTTAATGTAAATATTGGCAGATATTGCTGTTTCCAACTAGTCATTCTACGTTGTGTGTGAGATTTGATTATTGTTAAAATACTTTAATCAATTGACAGTTTGTAGATATTAAAAATGACAATTTACGTTCTACGTGAAAAATACGATTTTATACGTAATATAATTAAGATAAAAAAAGGAAACTTCTTTACATAGATATTTTCTTTTCTTCTCGTACTACGTATACACGTTCAATCAACATTATCAATAGGAATTTAAAACTATTTGCCGTGTGCCTTAATTCTAACGGCTGCATTTAATATTATCATGTAATGAAATATTAGAAATATCATACAGTTAGAATAGATTTTCTATTCGACTGAATAATATAATATTAAGTAAGTAGAATATACAATATGGTTGCCATAAGAAGAAATTTTGCGCTTTCTTAAATTATTAGAAGAAAAGAGACGTGGTGCTAACAATAATATCATATTCTATATATTTCTAAGAGGCATTCTACAATATTAGAAATATAGGGGTGCTATAATAAAAAAATAACAAATTTCTATCACATTTGTGCCGTAAAAAAATGATATCAACAACTTATTTGTAGAAAAAAAAAAAAGAAAAGAAAATCCATGGAATATTTTAACATATGTACAATATAGATATATACATCTCATTGATAAGATTTATTAGAACAGAACAAATCACGGTTTATTTTGCATTGATATTTTCAGCGAGATACTTATTGATAACGTTCAAAATAAATCTATTAAATCAATAGATAACAAAATATTGTTTTAAAACATTTCAAAGATATCTTATAATTAGTAAGAATATGATGATATATATACATATGTATACATATATTTAATAATAATCTAAATACATATACATATATAGATATTTTTATAAATATAAATATGTATATACATTTAGATTATTATCATGTATACATAGGGTATTCTGTAACTTGAGGTATAAACGAGCAGAGAGTGAATTTACATAATAAACAAAAATTTAATGAAAAATGTAGAATAAAATTTGGTCATATAAGACTTATGGTTACTTTTTGTAAATTTGTCGAATACACATGCATTTGATTGATTGCAAGCTTGCATCTCTAGAAATTAAAAATTTTATTCGATAATTATAAAAGTAGAGTAAGAGATATCATCTTATTGACAATGTTGTGCTATCAAAATGCTATCAAAAATATCCTGGAGTAAGATAATAATATTTGTCGAATGCACGCACATTTAGCGTATTGCTGGTTACAGGACACCTTATATATATATTATTATAAATTAATGATATTTAAATAAATGGTATTAATAGATTAAAAGAAAATATATTTCTACCATTTACAAAAAATTATGAGACTATAATAATAGACGAATACAAATTTTAAAATTAATTAATTAATTAAAACAAGGAATTATTTAGTTTGATCAAATGAGCAAAGAAGCAATAGTATTATAAGAAAAAAAAAAATAAAACCGAACTAAATTTTCATTCAATGACCTACATTTTAGATAATTAAAGTAAATATACATAATACATATATGTATATATGCATTTTAAAAGTGTAATAATTATTAAGTGACTGTGATGATAATGATGATGATGATGATTATAATGATAATGATGACGATTATAATGATAATGATGACGACGATGAAGATTGTCTTGTATAACATTCGATTATTATTATTACTATTTTTGTAAAACGTTTATATGGTTTAATAAAAATATAGGAATATTTTAGTTCTTATCATACAATTGTTAATATTTAAATTAAACTTACCTTTAGCATTAGCACATTCACCATCGGGGTGAGCCATGCGTTGCATGGCAGCTGGTGCTACCCCTAATGGCATAGAAATTTTATCCCCTAATATCGTCGTGCTTAGATCTCTTTTCGAAACATCTCGAAGACATCTAGGTTTTATTCGATACCTAGAAAACACACCAATATATATACTTATATACAAGTGAATAATTCATATAATGAATTCATTTGAATTTTATATATGTGTATATTAAAAAAATGCAAATCTCGTTTAGATTATATTCTTTATTTATTAATTAAAATCAATGATATATCAATTTTTATCTTATGAACGTTATCTCGTAATTTGTTTTTAATGACTTTTAAAACAAAGTCTTGAGTGTCTCGATAATTGTCAAGATAATAATTATTATTATTATTTTTATTAGATGAGTACCTTCTGAAAGCTTCTCTATTCCATCGTAAGCTACATTCATCGCCAGCACCACTTTTATAATAATCTCTTACGAAAGGCGGTAAATTATTATGTCCATATTTTTCATAATCTTTTACGCATACGAGGTTCGCCATTTTCCTTTGAAAAAAAGAAAAACAAGTTATATATAAAAAATAGAAAATTGTATAAAAATGAATTAAAGTAAGATATCAAGAATGATCTTACGATATTTCATATTTTAATTTAAATGAAAAAAAAAAATTCAATATATTTTTATATTAAATTATATCTCAGGAAATTTCGTATATTATATATTTTTCCGTTATTCTATTATTGAAAGTCGAACATTGTAGTAATAATGTATCTCTTATCAAAGTAAATATTAGTATTGTAAACCTAAACGCGCTATCATTAAATAACATATGTATAGTTGATATATATATGTGGGATTCATCGATTGAATAATCGATTCCTTCTTAATCGTATCGCTGGATCTTTCTTCAGATCGTCGTATTTTTACCCGTCCTTTATTTATATGAACGTCTAACTCTCTTAACAACTCTTTTCCTAGAAGAACTTCGTCACGCATATCTGACCGACCTACTACAAATACATCCGTCACATACTTATCGCCTTCGATATCGATATTCTCTTCAAATTTTCCTATCGATTTTGTAATTACATTACCGAATCCTGTAAATCGTAGAACGGTTTCACATAACGCTGGTTTTCCTATCTTATTATACAGGGTGGGTCACCACATTTTACCATCTAGATTTACGTTATTATTATTACGCGTAGCAGACAATGTTTCACATGGAGTTGAATGGCTTTGAAAGGGGTTCATACTGATGGTACTTTTTTTTTTTGTAGGTGGACGTGTAAAGGACATATGAAGGTCATTAATGTTTTTTTAAACGGAATCATATATTTTTTATTGCATCGTCTGATGCTCTTTCATATTATTTACAAAAAAAGTATTAACCTATTTATGTAAAAAAATTATTACTTTAGGAGATATTTTAATTTTTATGTCTATTTACAAAAAAGGTTCAATGTGGCAACCATTTGCATCAGAATACTTTCTGAATCGAGAAATTAATGACTCATTAACGTTTCTTAATGTATCTGATGTTATTTTCTTGCATTCATTGATGAAACGATCCCTCATATCGGCCATTGTAGTCGGAGGCTCAGCGTAAACTTTATTTTTTAAGTAGCCCCATAAGAAAAAGTCGAGGGGCGTTAGATCTGGTAATCGAGCCGGAAAATAAATGGGCCCACCCCGTCCTATCCAACGATTTGGGAACATTTGATTTAATGTATCCCTTGCTATTCTTGAATAATGAGCAGAGCAACCATCCTGTTGTATTCACATTATTTGTCGTGTATGCAATGGTAAATCGTCTAAAAATGTCCATAGAGTGTTTGATAAAAAATTTTTTGATAAATCCATTCGTTAGCTTTCGCGAAGTCAAAAGACAAGCTGGAATTAGCCGTAAATGCATTTTACGCATACTGATAAAGCACAAAAACCATTCATATCATGTATCAAAGGTTCAAGAACTGACCGCAAATGACTGTTATCAACGTTTAGAATCTTGTAATTGGGCTCTCACTCAAAGAGACAACTTTTTCAGCAATGTTATATTCACGGATGAAGCAAAGTTTACGAAAAATGGATCATTGAATTCAAGAAATGCCCATTATTGGTCAACGAAAAATCCTCATTGGTTTAGACAAATGGATAATCAACATCGATGGAGTGTAAATGTTTGGGTGGGCATACTAGGCGATAAACTTATTGGTCCATACTTTATGTATATTTTATGTATATTTTATATTTTGGTCTGGTAAGTGATCCTTCGATAAAGTATGGACCAATTACAATAAGGTGCTATGTGTCCGTAGTCATTACATTTGAAACATTTAAGTCCAGCACCAAGTTATGAGGGGAACCGCAATTCTACTTTTTTCCTGAGACACGTCTGAATAATTGCTGACATTGCCGTATTTTTTAATATTTCTTCGTGAAAATTTTATACAATATTCTTCGAATGTCATACTTTAAAGTACCATTGGTTTTAATAAAGAGATTTTAACTGTGTCGTCACAAAAAATTCACAAAAACATGCCTTTTTTTGTACGAATTACCCTTCCCCTCACCCTCTTAAGGGGGAACACACAGTCTTACTATCTTACTGTTACACCAACACTATCGATTACTATGCAACTTTTAATTTAGCATTCACGCGTGGTCAACTTTTACGCGCAACGCCCTTATTCAACTTTTCAATCGGATTCGCACTGTTGGTAACCGTAACACAACTTTACAACTTGAAACAACTTTGCGACTTGATATTGCAATCGTGAGACCTATTTCCTTTTTATAATTCCGGCTACGAGCCCCCAAATGTGGGTTTCCCCTTTTCCCGTTAGTCTTCCGTTAGTTATATCTAATCAACGAAAGGAAGGAATTCAGCGGTGTTGTCAAAAGTTGACATAGAAAGAAAAACCTCTCTTCACGGCTATGCAATATTTAATATAAAAAATAATAAGAATACAAAATAGTTGATAAAACGTCTTTTCTCTTTGGCCACTAAACGATGTATCTAACTCTCACTCGCTTTTCTTTAATTTCCTTCTTTCGGCGACGCTCTTGCTAAATCTAATCGGTTGTTTATTTCGCATTTGTTCATCTTTTGTCCGATTGCACACGATACTCTTTGGCTCAATCATGCTTACGTGCCTCACTCACACCACTCAAACTCTCACACTCTTACACTCTCACACCCCACGTATATGCATAATGATACAAAAAGAACTGGAATTTGAATTATTTAGGAAAGTTTTGCATAAGAAAATAAAGTTATTTATAACAGAAGTCGTAATAGGGGCTAATTTGACTGATATTATTTTCTACATATAATTTTACAAAAGTTTTATAGTAAAGTTTATTTACATTTATAGGTAAAGTAAATCTATATTTATGATTAGTAGCATTATTTTGTAAAATAATATATCACAACGTTTTAATGATATTTGAATTACTAACAAGATTCTTTTTGGAAATTTTCTGAAAATAAGACAAAGATAAGCGTATTTGGCGTAATTTACATATTCGATAAGATTTATTAATTGTGTAACACGAGTATAACGAATGTGTTATGTTATACGGATGAATTATTTATTAAAAAAAAATATAATGCTTTTTTCTGGTTTTTTTTTTTTTAATTTTTTAAATAAGAAATATTAAATTTAAAAACTTACTGTGTGTGTTCGTAAAATAATTAGAAGTATCGTTAATAAAATAATATAATAATATTATTGTAACGATAGTGTTTTCTTGATACGTTGAAGATTATTTTTCACAATGATTGATAACACGAATGACGACGTTCATTTACGCACATATATATATATAGATAAAGAAGCAGAAAATCAACGAAGAAAACTATCATCAGTCGTCTTGGAAGTCTGCTGTATGACTGATGCCAGAAAGAAAATTACTAATATAATATACAGTATTCATAGAAATTATATGACTATATTTTAACTGATAAAAATGTTTATATATACTTGGTAATATTCCGAGCTAAAGATAATTCTCACTTTAGAATGTATCTAAATTTATTCCGATTTGATATTATTTTTCTTATTATTATTATTATTATTATTATTATTTTCGAATATTTTTTTTGTATATATATTTTAATTTTATTTATGAAAAGACGCGTTATAAATTTGTATCAAAATGTATTTTTGATAATATTCGAAACATCATAAATAATTATTTTTCGTTTGAACAATTAATACGAGTTTTCTTTTATAATTGCATTTTTACGTTAATTAATATAAAATTTTTTAAATATCAGAAATCAATATTATATTTACAAAAAATAAAAAAAAAGGATAGGGTAAGGTTCAGATTTAATTACTATTACAATATTACACATTTTTACTATTTGTACTATTGTACTATTTACTATTTACTATGTGTACTATTACATATCATAAACGGTTAATATAAAAATTTACTTTTTTTTTTATTTCATACAAGTTAAATTTTTTAATAATAATAATTAATCGCTAATTAATAAGCGAATTTTGTCTTAAAATTTTGCAATATTTTTCGAATTATGTTTAACATCGCTGTGAATTTGAATGATATATTTTCTTTTACATTACATTAAAATTTCTCACAATTTATCTTCGTAACGAGAATTATTAATAATATACAAAATATATTATTTAATATATACTTTGTTTTTTTTTTTTATCACTTTATTTTACTTTAAATTATCAAAATAAAATATCTCATTTAATGTGATAAAATAAAATAAAATACTTTGTTCACTCAAATTTTATTTCATTACTATTTTATTTCAATTTTAAAAAAAAATGTACTAATTAAAATAGTATTTGAAATATCATTTTCAGATACATTGTCCAGAGCTTTCTGATTTGTCTTAGAGTGATTACACATTGGACACTTTGCTAACGTTTTTTTGAAAGAGCCCAATGTATTGTAACCGCTCTTATGTTTATTCTTTATATATTAAAGAATGTTTTTATTATTTTTCTTCTTGTTTTCGGAAAATATTGTAGTTTTTCTTATTTAAAAAAATAAAAAAATAAAAAACTATCTATACTTTACGAAAATAATAATTAACAATTTCAAATCGACCACATTGTCAATTAAAATATTTTAAAATATGATACATTATAAATTAAATAACAATAAATAACAATAAATATGAGATTATAAATGTATATGTAAAAGTAATAACAAAATATATAAAACAAATTCACACACTAAACAATTAGATATGACATCATAAAAATATTACGTATTTTTAACAAAGATTTCAATCTTTCTATAATAATTAGTCTCTACTATTATATGAAAGAAAAATGACATGTATTCAACACACATTATATTTTTGATAAGTCTGATAAGTTATTTAGTACAATATTATCATGACTCAAACAAACCCAAAATTAAATATATCATACTTGCAATGTATATTATATAAGACTGATGAGAGAGAGAGGTAAAAGGTAAACAAATGACCAACAAGTTTCGTATTTTCATTTTTCCTTTGGATCCTAAACGAATTTCATTGTCAGATGGATATAAGAAATGATCATCAGGATGATATCTACAATCCATTGATAACTTAGTTTAAATACTTTGATTTGAAATTAGTTATGTACAAGACACAATGTTATCTCAAAGAACAATAATAATACCATTATTACTAAAACACACGATTACTTACAACAAAAAGTACCATCAAGTATTAGAAGCAAAATATTTACAATAAGGATTAATTTTGTTTTAAATTCTACCCGTAACGTACGCGTTTTTGTTTTTTTGTTTTTTTAATTATTCTTGCACTTCTCTTGCAGTAAAATAAACTCCATAATCAAGACCTCTACGTGCTAACCATAATCTGATATATTTCCTGTTATAGTATACAACAATACAAACAATTAGTTGAATTCCTATGAATGCACCCAAAAAAATATAATTATTGTTAAAAGTTATGCACGAAGTGTCTAATTTTATCATATGGACAGGCACATCTTTATCCACACATTTTATTTCATTTAAATCATTATAAGTATTTCGATATTTTTTGATGAATAATATAGCATCACGATTATAGCATTCACATATAATTGGATTACCACTTAAAGTCAATTTTTTCCATTTTACAGATGACAAGTAATGGGACGCTCGAAAATCAATTCTTGTTATATTATTATTTTGTAATTCTAATATCTGAAAACATAATAAAAAGAAGAATAATTTAATGTGAACATTTTGTTAAATATCTTTAATCAATATATATATATATAAAAGATAGTAAAATAAGAATTTGTTCGTACTTCGATGGTACTTGGTAATTCTACAACCGCTATTCTAGTTATATTGTTATTGGATAACATTAAACCTGTTACTTTTATGGGAAATGATGTTTTGGTTGATGGTATCTCTGTTAAAAAATTTCCCGTTAGATTAAATATAACTGGATTTTGTCTTCTTAGGATCATTCTCATCTCATCGATTAAAAATGTAGACAAATTTCTATACGAGCAATCAACAATACGAGTTTCATCCAGCGGTCTTATTCTACAAGTACAACCTTTTTGACATAATTGTACAGAATTATAATAATCACGTTCAAAACATGTATATTCTTTTGATTCCAGATCACTAATTTTGATTTCGTTCTTTCCATCAGGTTGTATACACGTTAAATCATCAATTATAAAATTATAACGATCGTAAATATCATAACGCATCTGATATTCACGATAACGCAAAAGATTATACAAGGCACAATCACATAACAAAGGATTATGTTTAAAATCTATGGTCATGTAACGATCTTCCATACGCCAAGATACCTTTTCTTCGATATTACTTAAATCAATATGTCTGATTTTATTATAACTCAGATCGATTGTCGTATCGAGTGACGGTACCGTGAATATAGATCCCTAAAAAAAAAAAAAAAAATTTAAATAAATAGAACTAAATAATAGACGATTATTGAAAGTAATGTATTTACTTTCTATTTTGTAATATTATATTTGGTTGTTCGGAAAGTTCGTGCCGATTTTCGGTAAGTGGCATAAAGTTGTTTTACTAAAAAAAACCTGAAAAGTTCTGAAAGGCAGAAATTTTGAAGTTACCCTTAAAGATGGAAGGAACAGAATGACACTTATATATAATTTAATAAATATATATACCAAATAAAAAAAATTTAAATTTGTTGCGTTTCAATCTTCCATCTGAATCGGCACGAACTTTCCGGATAACCCAATATTTAATGATTTATTCAAATGACATTACTACAAAAAGTATTTGATTGGCAATTAAGTAATTGCGGATATCACCAATAATTTTTCTTGAAACATCCGCAATTACTTAGTTGTTAATTGAATAGAAAAAATGAAATATATTTACCGGTATGTGTTCAATGAAGTTGTGACTCAAATTTAAATGTATTAAATAAAAGTTACCTATCGACCAATCTTCAAAGAAATAATTAATGGTACAGTTCGATAAATCTAATTTTGTGAGATATTGATTAGAATAAAATACTGACATTTTTTTACTTATGTGAGTTAATCTTAATGGATTGTGAGATAAATTCACAAATTTTAAACTTATTAAAGGATGAAAAGCCATTAGATCGATATCTTCTATTTGATTTCTTTCTATATTCAATGTTTCTAAGTCAATCAAGCCGTAAAATATATATCTAAAAATATTCATTATTGAAAAAAAAAATAATAAAAATATATTTCTTTTTGTCATGAATTATTTAACAATTTACCTTGATAAATAAGTTAGTTGATTGTCGGATAAATCGAGTACTTTTAATTCTTCCATATCTTCGAAAATTTTATCAGGAAGATATTCAATTCTATTATTCTTTAATGACAATTGTTTCATCAAATGTAAATCACGGAATATATTGATGGGTAATGTAACAAGTAAATTATCATATAAGAAAATATACATTAATGATGTTGAACCCAAGAAAAGATTTTCCGGTAAAAATTTCAATCCGTTATCGTTCAAATAGACTTGATAAAGTTTGGTCAAATTCGCCAAAAGATAATCTGGTAAGGTGTCTAATTTGTTATTATTACTATATAGAGTTAAGTCTTTCAATGCTGTAGTTTTTTCGAATAGATTTGCTGGGATAGAAGAAAAATTATTCATAGAAATATCAAGTTTCTCCAAATTTGTTAATTCATAAAAAATGTCCGATTTTAGACTGGTTAATAAATTATCTAATAGATTCAAACTTTTTAAAGATGTTAAATGATAAAACATGCGACAATCTAGTTCTGTCAAATAATTTGACATAAGATTTATATTCTCCAGATGTATTAAATTATTAAATGTTCCAGGAATTATATTGTCTATTTCATTTCCAAATAAATTAATTTGTTTTAGATACGTATTTGTACGGAAAATATCAACGGGTAGGTCTAACTTATTATTTGATAAATCAATATACTCCAAATAAGGAAAATCCCAAAACAAATTATTAGGTATATTGGTTAAACCGTTTTTAGATAAAATTAATGTTTGTACACTTCTGAATCCTTCAAGATGTTCTCTTTCTAATGTTCCGAAAAGATTTTGATAAGATTGAAATTCGAGCATGTATGTATCTTTTATTGCAAATTGTTTTAACACTTCTTTTAAACTAATATCATTTGGTAATCTACATCTTTCAAAGCTCAGAGATTCAAGAACCTTATCACATATATCGGTCTTGATATAAAAATGTTCCCACGAGCTCTGATTAGAACAAATGATCTGTAAATTTATCAAAAAAAAATACAAAATAATTTGATTAAACCAGATATAAGATTTTAAGATATTCACAATAAAATCTCTATACTGTAAAACAAATGTTTCAATACAATTGATAATGATATTGAATAAAATTGCGTTAAATAAAAAAGCTTTCCGTGTATATACCTTTACATTTTTTGATGATTTAATGCTGATGAAGAATTTTGCACTTGCATTAATACTGCAATTAATATTTAAATCGTTCTTACTAAATGACAAGCAATCGCAAGATGGATTATTCTCGCAAGGAGCATATAGCGTTTGTTTAGCACCATTGATTGATGTGAATGTAATTAAAAATATAATTAAAATTCTGATAATCATCTTCTATTAATTATACACTAGAAGAAGAAAAAAAAAACATTTAATGTTGTTCGCGAATATTTCAATTTAACAATATATTTTAAAACAAAAAGAAAATTTGTAATGCAAGTTTGCAATGAATAATTACGTTTGATAAATAAAACTATTTTAATAAGCTAAAATACCAGAATAATTTTTTAAAACAACAACATTTACTTTAATAATAGATTCATATAAGTTAAAAGAGCTGTAATTAATAAACAAAATTAAATACTAAAGATTTTACATAATGTAAATCTAACAAATAGACACAAATAATAATTTTGTTAAGTTACCTTGCTATTTCGAATCAAATTTACTCGGCAGTTAACATTCTATTACAAATAAATATATTTATTTCTAATAGTTTATCAATTAAAATTCGATCTCAATGGAGAAAGTTATATCAATCGTAAACGCAAATTATATGAAAGATAAAAACAAGTAAACAAGGAACTTCAATGTAATGTAATGAGCTCGCTATCTCTCTGTTCTAATGTAAATAGCTTACATTAGGTATTATTACTTGTATGTGTCCTTTCTTATAATTAATTTACTTTATTTTTCTTCGTCTTATATGATACTTATTATTTCTCTTAATTTTATTTTAATTAATCACTAATGAAAATTATTCTTTTTCTTATTTTTTCTTTTTACTAACTTTAATCTAGCATTGTATTTTCTTGGATTATTTGTATTTTTAAATTGTAATAAAAAAAAAAAATAATAACTTACACACTTACCCAGAACTTCAGTTGACCATTTAATAATTGATAATGATTTAATATTATAATAATAAAATTAAAAGAGACAAATAACGTATTTTTTTTGTTCGTTTTAATTTAAATTGTTAAATCAAAGTAACTGTTCAGCACAAGACTACTTACTTCTATGTAAACCCGACAAATAATAAAACTACTAGAAAGATTCGTATTTATATAATGGTAAGAACATTAGCAAGAAACCTAAACTATCGAATTATTATTAGATATATTGATAAAAACTATGTTTAGTATAATTCTACTATTTAAAACATTAACTCATTTGGTTAAATTAGTTTTAGGTATATTTGCCATGCTGAATAAATAAAATAATTAAATAATATTATTTATAATAAATATTAATATTGTAAACATTTTCAAATTTATTTCTCTATATTTAGTTATATGTAGAGTTCATTAAATTATCTTATTTTCAAACGACGAAAATTTTCGCGCGCTTTGGAACTAGACCTGAATGTTTAAGTTGGTAGACCTGTTCTTTTTTAGGTTCTTTCATCTTCTGTTCGTTTAGTGGGTATGTCGATAATTTTATTTCTCTTACGAAATCAACTTTGATTATTGACATTATTATTAATCTAGTTGTAAATAAGTAAAATTTGATCATATTTAAATATTATTTATGTTTTATATCCAATATTTTTCTTCTTAATATATTTTTAAAAAAGTTTGATTGAAGTATGGAGTTATTTGAGGTTAAGTCGTTATATTAACGTACATAGTGTGATACTTGTATACACATATGCTATTATCTTAAATTAAATAATATTGAATTCTTTTTGTTTAGGTCTATAAACCATGGGTCGAGTAATACGTGCTCAACGTAAAGGAGCTGGTTCTGTATTTAGATCTCATACAAAAAGGAGAAAAGGAGCACCAAAACTTCGTTCTTTGGATTTCTCTGAAAGGCATGGATATATTAAGGGTGTAGTAAAAGTTAGTATTTCATTTTTTAGAAATTAAAATTATTTTTTTTTTTTTCACATATTCTGTATGGTAAATATCAATAAACTTATGTTTTACTTGGTTGGTCATTATCATGATGATTTCTAGTATACCTACTTCTGAATGTAAATGTAGATTTCAAACTAGAGGCTCTTTCTGAAGGTTTATCTGTRTATTTATAAATAATATAATTTTTTCGTTATTGATTATTTAATATTYAATTTTGCATTATAGGACATAATTCAYGACCCTGGACGTGGTGCTCCTCTTGCGGTTGTTCATTTCCGTGATCCTTATAAATTTAAAAGACGCAAGGAATTATTTATTGCACCTGAGGGAATGTATACAGGACAATTTTTATATTGCGGAAAGAAAGGTATAAAATCTTATTATTTGATCTGTTATTTGTTATTGTGTATAATTTTTTATTGACATTTTACAGCTACATTACAAATTGGTAACGTTATGCCCGTTGGTACAATGCCCGAAGGTACTATAGTCTGTAAYTTAGAAGAAAAAACCGGTGATAGAGGCCGTTTGGCTAGAGCTTCCGGCAATTATGCTACCGTCATTGCTCATAACCCTGATACTAAAAAAACTAGGGTAAAATTGCCATCCGGTGCAAAAAAAGTTATTCCTTCTAACAACAGAGCTATGGTAGGAATCGTAGCTGGAGGTGGTCGAATTGATAAGCCGATCCTAAAAGCTGGTCGRGCTTATCACAAATATAAAGTCAAGAGGAATTGCTGGCCTAAGGTAGGATACTTCATAATATTTGTGTACTTCCTAATATGCATGTATTATATATTTAAATGATGCTTTCAAGACATTTGAGACCTGAATTATAAATAACATGTAGATAAATTTTGACTGATTTATATCGATGATTGAAAAAAATAATCTATATTCAATACAAAGATTTTTAAATTGAACATTTATACTTTTAGGTTCGTGGTGTTGCTATGAACCCAGTCGAGCATCCTCATGGTGGTGGTAACCATCAACATATTGGTAAAGCTTCTACCGTTAAACGGGGAACCAGTGCTGGACGCAAGATCGGTCTCATCGCTGCTCGTCGTACGGGTAGAATAAGAGGAGGCAAAACAGATACTAAGAAAGACGATTAAATTTAAAATTCATTACTCTTTGGTATATGTTGTGCAATAAAAAACAAAAAGACAAAAAAAGCTAATTTTTAATATTTTTTATTGATATCTTTTTACTTTTTCCATATATATAATATGTATATTTATTATTCTAATGAGTATATAATTAGTATGTTTCTTATATCCCTTATTTTATTTTATTATAATGTCGACAAATTTGTCAAGGTGAGTACATAAGATACTATATAAGAAGTATCTTATCTGTAAAATTGACAGTTTTAGTTAGTTTTTAATAAATGAATTCTTATTGGTCGATGAAATCAGCTAGAAATAATGGTTAATTCATTTAACTGAAGCCTATAAATCAAAATACCTACGTATTTCGTTATTATTTTATTAGATTATCAAGTATAATTTTATTTTATTGGAATTTAATATATAAAAATGACAGTTTAGTCATAAATATGATAAGAAACACGTGGAATTGGAATGTTCCCTATTCAGGATTGGTGTATTTCCGGCGGATCTAGAAAGGACGCCATGTTATTATCTATATAGCGTTTCTCTGCCATTTTTGTTGCGTCGACGTTAAGTGTGGCCAGGGGCCTCTCTCTCTCATCATAGAATTCAGTCATCAGGCTTCGTTTGTATCTGATAATAGCGTCAGAAGAGCGCCGGTATTACGACTGTTCTGACAGACGATTAAACTTTCGTTCGCATATTGGCGTACACAATAAGTAAGAAAAAGTATATACAAATATAAGGAAACGGGAACGTTGAACTTTTTTGGCACGGTGAGAGAGTTACGATTTGGGGAGAGTGAGCTACACGAGAATCTACGGCAGAGCTACGAAAACTACGCACAGAGGCGGAGTAATATGAGTAATGCAGCCAACCAGAATGGATCAGGTCTAGAGCAGCAGGTAAGAATGTGTGATATTACAATAAATGTATTTCTAATAAGTTCTGCTGACAATTTTCTTTTTCAAATTGCCTTGTCTCTTCTTCTCCCCTTTTCCCCTGCTTCTTTTTCTCTACTCTTTCTTTTATCTTCTCTCTTATATAGATATATATATATATATATATATATATATATATATCCTTCTATTTCATGCACGTTGCATTTATCCGTTGCATTATTCCTACCCCCCTACCCCTACCCCCCTTAATTCTCTCTTTCTCTGTCTTTTTCTCTCTCTTTCTCTCTTCTTCTTTTTATCACTCCTTACGATATTATTATTACAAAATTAGAATGTAGGCGTAAGGGAATATCAAAAGGCATGCGCGAAAACCTTAGCTTTGTATCCCTTTGTTCGGTCAGATATTCAGGAACGCTGATGGCTCGACTCTGAACCAGTTCGTGACGTATGGTTTTATAATGGCGGCAAGCAATTCCGGGAACAGCATGCCTCGTGCCATGACGCACATTACGACGTACTATCGCTTTATTCATTTTCATTAGATTTTTTTTTCATCTTTTCTTTTATTCTATCTCTAGTAAAATCCCACGCTTGAACGTAATGTAAACTTTGTGATTTAGTTTAAATCGATATCGTTCCACACTGATACAAGCTATCTATTTATCTATCTATCGCTTTCTACCTTGATTATCTATAGAGTGAATAAAAGCAATACGAAATAGCGAGTTCACTATATATTAGATGCTTGACCAAGTAGTCACGAGGCTGTAGCGCGTGTTACATTAATCGCTCGAATTAACTTGATATCGCGGGAAAATGTCGATATTCATGTACTTGCCCTTTTCTTCACTTTTTTTTTTTTTATTATTATTTTTTTAAATGTTACCATTGATTCATAATCTTGTAGTGAATATCATAACAGGATGTACTATTACAAAATAAATTAACAAAATTTCGGATTAAAAGTAATATTATCAAATAGATTAAGATTGTAACATATATTGTATAATATATTAACATTTAATTATTAACATATTAAATATTTATATAATATATTAACATATATTGTATAATATATGTTAAGATTATTAACTATCTAATAAGGGTATTCAATGATGATATTTTTCTTTTGCAACAGTTAGCTGGTCTGGACTTGCAGGGCTCCCGCCAACCAAGCGAGGGTCGCTACGTTCCACCACATCTACGAAATAAATCAGCAAGTAAGTATTGAAACTAGTTGTTATTCAAATAACTTTAAGATTAGAGGTTTGCTTTTTAGAGAGTAAAGATTACTTATAATATTCTATAGAATATTTGAAATATATTGGGATTGTTATAATAACATTGAATATTATAATTATAGGTAGTACTCAGTCAACCGGTGACCAACATTCCAATTCTAATTCTCGGTCACTGTATTCTGATAGAGACAGGGGCGGAGATCGGGATAGAGATCGTGAAAGAGAGAGGGATAGGGATAGGGGCCGAGCAGCAGGTCCAGGATTCAGAGATACCCGTAGTGGTGGACGCGACGTCGATTTTGGAAATTTCGGCAACTTTGGTGGACGCAGTAGACGTGCTCCTAATCAAGAAAATGGCAGAGATTATAGATATGCAGGTTCCGAACGTGATCGGCCAATTAGTTCCGGTAATGATCGATGGCAGGAACAACCTAGAAATGATCGTTGGCAAGAGAGTAGAAATGATCACAGAATGGGAAGCGGTGGTGGTAGATGGAAGGACGATAGGGAAGGTGGTAGAGGAGGAGGAAGAGGAGAAATCGATTGGACGATTCCCACAACCAGAGATGAGCGATTGGAGGTGGAACTATTTGGTACTGGTAATACTGGTATCAATTTTAGTAAATACGAGGATATACCAGTTGAGGCTACTGGCGATGACATACCACCACACATCACATCGGTTGGTATAATTCATCCATAAACACTTTTAACACATCAATAACAATGTTTAATAATATTGTTTTAAAATGTATTTTTTTAATATTATTTTAGTTTGATGAAGTCAAGCTGACGGAAATCATAAAAAACAGCATTAGCTTGGCAGGTTATGATAAGCCTACACCAGTTCAAAAGTACGCCATTCCGATCATTATCGGACGGCGCGATGTGATGGCCTGTGCCCAAACAGGGTCTGGTAAAACAGCGGCCTTCTTAGTGCCAATATTAAATCAGATTTATGAGAGCGGACCCCGTGCGCCACCACCGCAGGGCAGTTCTGGAAGACGTAAGCAATATCCATTAGGTCTTGTTTTAGCACCTACGAGAGAACTTGCTACTCAAATTTATGACGAGGCACGCAAGTTTGCGTATAGATCGCGCATGCGACCTGCTGTAGTTTATGGTGGCTCCAATATAGTGGATCAAATGCGAGAATTAGATCGGGGATGTCATTTACTAGTTGCAACTCCTGGTCGTCTTGCTGATATGCTTGGCCGTGGTAAAATTGGCTTAAACAATTGCAGGTATATATTTGTTTTGATACAATTTGATTAAGAAAATTTGTACAATTATGTTATATTAAAATGTCAATATTTTGTAGATACTTGGTATTGGATGAAGCCGATCGTATGCTTGACATGGGTTTTGAACCTCAAATAAGAAAGATCGTCGAAGAGGATACCATGCCACCAACTGGAGAAAGACAAACGCTCATGTTCTCTGCTACGTTCCCAAAGGAGATACAGATGTTAGCTCGAGACTTTTTAAGCAACTATATATTTTTAGCAGTTGGCCGTGTTGGTTCTACATCTGAAAATATTACACAAAAGATTGTATGGGTCGAAGAACAAGATAAACGTTCATATTTACTCGATCTTTTGCAAGCTAGTAGATTTTCAGATCCTTGTGAGTAGTTTTTCTTTAAAAAAAAAAAAAAAAAAAAACACGTTTATATTTGAATTTATTGTAGCAAATTTACAAAATAATTTTTATCTTACATTTGTTCGTTTTTAAANATTCGTATTTATATAATGGTAAGAACATTAGCAAGAAACCTAAACTATCGAATTATTATTAGATATATTGATAAAAACTATGTTTAGTATAATTCTACTATTTAAAACATTAACTCATTTGGTTAAATTAGTTTTAGGTATGTTTGCCGTGCTGTATAAATAAAATAATTAAATAATATTATTTGTAATAAATATTAATTATTAATTTTTTCTTTTTCTTCTTCTAAGAAAAAAAAAAGAAGTCATCCTTTTAGCAAAACAATAAGCAATATATTCGTAATATAGTTAGTATATTATTTACAATCAATACGAGTTTAATTTTATTACTATATTTTTAAGTTAATTAATAGAGCTTTTTAAATATCAGAAATCAATATTATATCTTCAAAGAATAAAAAAAAAAAAGGATAGGGTAAAGTTCAGATCTGGTTATAATACTATTAAACACCATAAACTATTAAAATATATTTGCATTTATTTCGTACATATATAATTTAGTATAAAACATTTCATTTGTTTACAAAATTATATTTCTGAAAATAATATTTTATTTGCAAGTTAATTATCCTAAAATTTGCAATATTTTTCTAAGTATGTTAAAAATCATTGTGATTTTGAATGATATCTCCTTTTACATTACATTAAAATATCCCACAATTTATTTTCGTACCGAGAATTAGTAAAATTCTACAAAACATATTAAATAACATATATAATACTAGCTAATATTATATATATTAAAAAATATCTACAGTCAATATTATTTTTTCACTTTCCTAGTTGATTTTAATTTATATCATTAAAGTCAAATATTTTATTTAATTTTATAAAATAAAATCAAATATTTTATCTTCGTTTTATTTTTTATTTTAGTAGTTTTTGATTTCAATTTTGAAAAATAAACTACCTGAGATTGATTTTGAAATATCATTTTCAAATATATTTTCCTCGCTCATTCAAATTTATCTTACGTTTACTCTTTATGTACAAAGTGTCATTTTATTGTGTTTCTTTCCCTAAAGTATTATAGTTTTCTTTTTTTAAAAAAAGAAAAACTAACCACTTAACGAAAATAATAATTTAGAATTTCAAACCGACCATTGTCGATTCAAGTATTAAAATATAATAAATTACAATTTAATAACAATAAATAACAATAAATATGAGATTATAAATGTATATGTAAAAGTGATAAAATATATAAAACAAATTCACATTAACAATTAGATATGACATAATAAAAATATTACGTATTTTTAACAAAGATTTAAATCTTTCTATAATAATTAGTCTCTACTTTTATATTAGTTCGATAAATTATTAGTACTATATATTCATGATTAAAACGAACACAAAGAATACTTTTCTGATAAAATATACTATACTTGCAATTTATATTATATAAGACTGCTCACACACACACACACAATCAAAAGAAAAACAAATGAACCAACAAGTTTCGTATTTTAATTTTTCCTTTAGATCTTAGGTGATCTCAGATAGATACATGAAAAGGTTGAAAATATCAAAAAGACGACATTTACAAACCTTTAAGACTTAGTTGGTTGTTTTGTTTTTAATTAATCATGTATGAGACATAGTATTTTTTCAAAGAACAATAAATAATACCATTAAAACTAAAACACAAGACAACTTACAACAAAAAGCCCTCAAGTTATAAAAATAAAACGTTTACAATAAAAATAACTCTTTTTCAAAGTTCAACACGTGACAAAAGTTTTCCTTTCCATTTATAGACTACTTCTTCTATCAGTATAAGTAACTACATATTCTTCTCTAGTAGGATCAGCCCATTGTCTCCTACTCTCTACATTAAAGTCCAGTTTTTTAATAAAATAATACAAAAAAGGACAAGTACACCCAATTAATATCGCCAAGAGTGGTACCCATATATGATCAATTCGTTTATGATCACACAAATTTTCTATTGCTACTGTATTCATAAAAACATCGTTATTTTTACATCTTAAATTTCCAAGATCGTTGTTAAGACCTCGAATTGATACGAGGAATCTAATTAGATCTTGATTTTCGCAATTGCATCTAATTGGGTTCCCACTTATAGTAAATCTTTTCCAAGCTACTGATTTCAAGGAATTTACAATTTCAGAATTAACTATTGATATATTGTTATTATGTAATTCTAAAACCTAAAAGAAAAAATAAGAAAAATGTATACAAATTTAGTAATTATATCTAAAGAATTAAATAAAAAATAGTAAAACAAAAAATATAGTACTTGAAGGCTTCTTGGTAATCTATCAAGAATTATAGTAGATATATTATTATTGGATAAGAGCAAACTCGTAACATTTATTGGATATAAAGATTCAGTTGATGGTATCTCCGTTAAATAGTTTCCTGTCAAATCTATAATTAAAGGATAGTCTTTTTGATAGATAAACTTTGACTTATCGATTACAAATTCGATCTTATTATCATAAGAGCAATTTAAAATACGAGTATGGTCTGACAGTCTTATATTACACTGACAATGATATTGACATTGTTTAGTAGTATTAAAGTATGCGTCTTCACTGCATGTATAATTTTCGAAATGCAGATTACTAATGACTCTATCAATAATTCCATCAGTGTTTGGACACATTAAATTTCCGAATGTAATATTATAGTTATCATAAACATCTTTGGTCATGTTTTCTCCAAGATAACGTAAAATATTATAAAAAGAACAATCACATAATAAAGGATTGTGTTGCATGTAAATAACAGTATTACGGTCCTCTTTAGACTTAGATACTATTTCCTCGATCTGATTTAAATTTAAATTTCTTATATTATTATAACTCAGATCGACTATAATTTTGAGTGACGGTAACGTGAATAAAGATGTCTACGGGATAAAAAAAAATAAATAAATTTAGCTACATTTAGACGATTATTTAAGCTTATGTATTTATACTCTATTTCATTATCTTACCGATACGTTACTAATCATGTTGTGACTCAAATCTAAAACTCTTAACTCATTGTTACCAGTTGACCAATCATTAAAGAATTGTTTAATGCCACAATTCGATAAATACAATTCTTTCAGAACTTGATTTTCATTAAATATTGGCAATTGGTGATCTATATGCATAAATATTAACGGATTATGAGATAACCTTGCAATGTTTAGATTTTTAAGTGAGCGAAATCCCTCTCTGCTTACAAATATTATTCGATTTCTTTCCATATTTATTTCATATAAAGAACCCAAGCCTTTAAATAGATCACTAAAAAATAAACAGTTTTTAAAATAATTGCATAATTAAAAAATAATGGTGTTGATACTTATGTACACATGTATAAAGTTATACTTCTTTGGCGTAAAAAAACAGAACAAGTATACAACTTGAATGACTAAAAATTAACTCAAAAATATATTTTGGATAAATTGTTAATTAAATCACCTTGATAAATTAGAAAGTTCATTGTTTGATAGATCGAGTTCTAATAAATTTACCATATCTTTAAAAATATAATCAGGAAGAATTTTAAGTTTGTTGTTTTTTAATGACAGATATTTAACATTTTTCAGACCATGGAAAATCTTCACGAATAAAAATGTGAGAGAATTGTCGTTTAAGTATATACTCTCTAACGAAATTAACTCCCAGAAGAGATTTTCGGGTAAAAATGTAATTCTGTTATTGCTCAAATAGACATGTTTAAGTTCTTTTAAATATGATAAAAGATTCTCTGACAACAAGTCCATTTCATTATTTAGTAAATATAGTTCTTTCAATTTTACATTTTTTTTGAACAGATTTGATGGGATAGAAGAGAATCGATTATTAGAGATATCAAGCTTTTCCATATTCTGTAAATCATGAAACAAAGTCAACGGAAAATCTATTAAGTGATTACGTGATAGATCTAAATATTTTAAAGATACTAATTGACCAAATGTTTCAGCTTTGATTTCATACAAATGATTTGAACCAATATTTAAATATTCCAGATTTGTTAAATTATTAAATGTTCCGTTATGTATCTCTTCTAATCCACTATAAAATAAATTAATGTGTTTTAACTTCGGATTCTTATAAAAAATATCACCGGGTAAAGAAAGAGAATTATTTGATAAGTCAATATGCTCCAATAATGGAATATTAATAAACAAATCACTAGGAATCTTAGTTAAACCATTATGAGATAAAATTATTTTTTTCAAATATCTAAATCCATGAAGTTGCTCTCTTTTTAGGTTTTCGTAAATAGCTTTAAAAGATTGAAATATGAGGATTTTTGTGTCTATTGCACCTAATTGTTTCAACACGTCTTTTAAAGTAGGTGATTTCGATATTCCACAGTATTCGAAGCTAATATATTCAAGTATCGAATTGATTTGCATGCTCTTGAAATAAAAATTTTCCCATCCGCTCCAATCCTTACAAATGATCTGTAAATTGATCATTTTATTTTACTCAAAGAAACTAAGAAATTAATTGATTAAAACAAATATAAGATTTAAGATATTCCGAATAATACTCTTTAATATAGAAATAGCTTTGCAATTTAAAAGAAAACAGTATTTAATAAAATTGCTTTGTATTAAAAAACTTCCGTGTATATACCTTCACTTCATTCCTTGATTTTATGGTGATGTTAAATCCTGTACTATTCTTACCATCACAAACTGCATTTATTTGCATCGGATCTATTGATGAACAATTGCAAGTTGGATTCTCTATGCAAGGAATACATTTGATTGGTATGAACGTAATTAAAAATATGACCAAGATTCTGATAATCATCTTCTATTAATTATCGACTAGAAAAAGAAAATAAATCGAAGAAACAAGTTTAATGTTGCTCGTAATAATTAAGTTTTAAAATACAATTTAAATTGAAAAAAAATTGTAATATAAATTTGCATTAAAGAACTACGTTTGACAAAACTATGATTTATTGCCCAGCTATCTATTTTTACAGTTGTTCAAATTGATTTCTATTTGTTTCTGAGATTTTACGTTATCATTCCAAAAATTGAAAGAATTTTGGATTGTTTATAAAAATATTGAAACGCTTATATATATATATATATATAAATAGTATAAAAGAAAACTCATTGAAATATGAACACACTGGAATCTAAGTTTCTAAAAAGATTGATTTCTATATATCTTTGAATTCAGAATGGTACCAAGTACCAAAATAGTATAAAAATTAATTTTTTATATCAATTATTTGTATATCAATAGTACAAATTAAGATTCAACATATACTATTATCGCAAATAGTAATATCAAAACTTTTTTAGAACACCGGAAATGATAAATCAATTACAATTTCAAGAAATGTATTATAATGAGCGAAATACAAGAAAAATCTTGTTGTAAAAGGAAAGAAAAAATAAATATTTACTTTAATAATAAATTCATATAATATAAAAGAGATGTAGTAAACAAACAAAATCAAATATTACTGATTTTAAATAAAGTAAATATAGCAGAGAGCTACAAATGATCAGGTCGTTAAGCTATTTTATTATTTAAAATGAAATTTACTCGGCGGTTAAGACACTATTTAAATTATTGTAGTTATTTCTAATAGTTTATTAAATTTAAAATTGACCTTTATCGAGAAAACAATATCAACCGTATATGCAAATTATATGAATGAAGAAGAAATAAGTAAATAAGGAGCTTCAATATAATGTAATATACTCGCACACTTTTAATTTAAATACATTACATTATACATATATTATCACTTATATGTGTACATTAATGTGCTATTC